CAAACTTCAAACTTCAAACTTCATCTCACCCAGCGGCTTCATGTAGATGTTAAATAGGAGGGGGGACAGGACCGAGCCCTGTGGCATGCCGTATTTAAGGGGCCTAGGGGTCGGCCTCTGTCCTCCAACCAACACCGACTGCGACCTGTCCGAGAGGTAGGAGGAGAACCACCGTAAAACAGTGCCTCCCACTCTCACCTCCCGCAACCGCCGCAGAAGGATACCATGGTCAATGGTATCGAAGGCCGCTGAGAGGTCAAGAAGCACCAAGATAGAGGAATGTCCTCTATCCCTGGCCCGCCAGAGATCATTGATCAGTGCGACCAAAGCAGTTTCAGTGCAGTAACCAGGCCTGAAACCCAACTGAAAAGATTCCAGATAGTCTGCTTCATCCAAGGACCGTTGGAGTTGAAAGGCCACCACCTTCTCAACAACCTTCCCTACAAAAGGGAGGTTGGAGATTTGATGATAGTTGTTAAAGATAGCTGGGTCCAGAGAAGGCTTCTTAAGGAGGGTTCTCACCACTGCATCCTTTAAAACCTTTTCAAAACTTTTAATTAAAAAAAAGAAATACTGTGAAGTGAACCACTGAGTACATAGTACATAGTTTCCTGATGACTCTAGTGTGAATCTCATATTTGCCAAGAGCACATCAATTTGTTTTGGGCTCACAAAGACTTGACACAACTTATTCCTTCTTAGCACAACCACAAGGAGATATCTAAAAGGTCTCTTACTGTATTAATTCTTAATTATGTTTACTTTCAAACAAACCATTTAAATACCACATTTAGCCTTTCCCAAGCTGGTCTCTTCCAATCAACTATACACAAAAGGCTAAATCACCCTGCTTGTTAGAAATGACAAGATATTTGCAATTCAACACTTCTATATATCATGAATGAGAGAAGGTTGTTGAACTTTATGAAACTGAATTGTTTACTTGTTGATCTTTCCATACAAATTTATTATATACTTCTTTTCATAAAAATGAATATTAAAGTGTTTTACAGTTAAAACTTTCACATACAAGATTAACACTATTCATAATTAAGGTTAAACAATTTTGAGCTTTGGACAGTGTGTAATTATCTTAAAAGAAGACTTTCTAGAGAAATCTTCAGAGAGGAGGAAAGAGATTACTTATATCATGTTACCCTAGAACAACAACCATTTTGTAGCTTCGGCCCAAATTCCAAGCACTAATATAAAGTGAGCTATAATTTATTAAGCACACTTATACTGTTACATATAGTATACATTGGCTGGGTTAAACTACTTCATTATCTTCTTTTTGCAATTTTGAGAATGATCTAAGCAAATGAAGGAACACTTAAGACTTACTGTTTTGAAGCCATGGTGACTACGGTATTAATTTTATTAATGTCATCACTATGTTCTAAATGTTTCCCAAGTATCTTAATTTCAAGCAATCATAATTTAATAGATTCTGTAGAAGAAATCTACTGAATGAAATAAAGACTTTTTTCAATCCCTAGTTTTTCAGAGGTTCCCCCCCCCGCAAGCTCACTTATGATTCTCTCTCTCTCTCTCTCTCCCTCCCTCCCCCCTCTCTCTCTTTATGATTAACTCACCTTTCTGAAAGAGTAGATCTGACACTTCCAGTCCTCATAAGCAGGCTCTGAACATCTTGAGTGCTTGTGGTCAATCCAGAGAGGGAGCCATGATGACTAAGAGGGAGATCAATAGATTCAGAGCTGGTGTGAAGGCTAGTCATCGACTGGTAACTTGGTGTATCCTTACTACCAGCAGAAGAACTACTCAGATTTGCAGCCCACACAAGACCACCTGATGTGAAAGAATGGGCTGAGGCTGGACTTGAAGCCAAGGAGTGACTTAGGCCTACAACATCTGTATTTAAGTCCGAGGGCTTATTGAAGAGGGGGCTACTGCTTCCACTCTGCCCACCTGCACTGCCCATGCTACCTGTACCTGAAGATGGAGATTCCAGACTGCCTTGCCGAGCTAATGTGGTACTAGGGCTGGGCATGGCAGATGTAGATTTTGCGCCTTCTGTATTTGGTGCAGTGGCAGCTTTGCCACTGGCTTTGGCGCCAAACAACCTAGAAGCAAACCAATAACCTAAATGTTAGAAACCAAAGCTTCACATCATAATATCTGGAATATCAGCACAAGTCACTTTTACATTTCTCACAAGGAAATCCATTTTGATTATGCATTATTAGATGTCATTTAAAAAATAATAATTCAAGAGCACTCATTCAAACTTTGTCTTTTAAGAAATATGGATCTTCTCATAGAGATAATAAAGTCAACAATTCATCTTTATGTGGATGACTAAAAAGATTAAATGTTCATCAAAATTTAACAAGTATTTCAAAAGCTTAATCAGAAGACATTTTAATAATTAAAGTAGTATAGCATAATTATGGACAGCCACCAAATCAATATTTTTCTCAAATCTGAAATTAGATGCAAAATGCTAATTTCAGTTTCTTTCCATATGTATCTATTTATATGTATGAAAGTTCATTTTTATTTATCTCATTACATTTATTCTCCAAGCCCACTCCAGCAATTTCCAGCAAAATAAAATAGATTTCTTTTGTGAACTGCAGAAAATTGTATTTCTAAAAGATCTGAAATTATCTGTCCTTCTATAAATTCTACAGGAAGGCTTTTCTAAATTTTACAGTTTATTCAATGGTAATGAAAAACAAATACATAATATTTATTTATACTGTAATAAATGCTACAGTGGTAAACAATTCCTAAGTAAAATGTTGTATTGGTGACTGGCCACAAGAGGGTAGTCCCAGCTTTCTTTCAAGATTATTGAGTGTTTTTGATAGAACAACTTGTCCTGATAACTTGAGTCAGGCTTTAATATCCAGAGATTGCCAATATGATTTAAAAAATTTCATTCTTATTTTCATTCTTATTCATCAGAATGTTTCTGATGAAAATACTAGGGTTTCAAAAATCTCCAAATCAAGATGGGCTGCATATTTTTGCACAATTTGCAACATAATAGGATGATTAAAGATAAGGAACATTATACTTACGTAGATATCTCAGGCATCTGCCCTGGTTTCTACAAAACTTTTTCCCTACCTTACTAATATATACTTTAAAAAAAACATTCGTTTTCTTAAGAGACGTTAATAGGATGAAAACAGTATGCTACCCTTCAGTTTTTGTGTGTGCCTGATCTAGATTAATAGGGCTTCTCAGAAAATGAAAAGTGTGGTTTAACGAATGCAGTTTAGCCCTTTCATTGGAAGTTGGCATATACAGTATGTCCAGAAAAAAAGGAAAAAAAGAAATGGAAAGGTTTGGGTGACAGCAAATATCTTCGACTTTGGCACCCAGTAAAATGATACAATAATTATAATTAGACATAAAGCTTCTTATGGAGCATTTTTGAGACTGTATCCATGGCATATTGTAAAAATGTATAATTTGTTTTTCATCATGTATCTAATAAGATATTTAGAAGGTAATTTATAATCCATAGATATAAAGAGATGTTTATTTTTAATAAACATTCATCCACTACTTAGCTATTATGAAAATATGAAATTACAACCTTCCCACATATGGGATCCTTAATGCCATACTATTCCTGGGCAGTTATCAGCCATCCAAAGGCAAGTAAAAGCAGGCTTCCCTTATATTTTCTTGAATAGAAAACTATTCTGTAGTAGACTTCGCCAATTAAATTATGTTGATGCAGGTCTTCTCCTGTCCCGTTAGGCATTCTGACAGGCAACGGCTGTTTATAATTAGATTTAGACACTCTTTTATATTTTTCTGCCCTCTGAACATTTCATGAGCATTTCATAGCTTCCAAAAAGGGAAAATTGATTACAACTATTTGTAGATGTCAGACCAACTTTCAACCTAATTGGAAGTTCCAAAATTATTTGTTAGTCAACATTTCATTTTAAATGTTACAGAGATATAATACGTTGGGAGACAGTCATAGTTTCTCTCCCTCTGAAAGGGAGATGGGTAGCTTCAAAATTTATGAATAAGTAAAATAAAATTAGTTTGCCTATCTTTTCAACATATTTCACAGCAAAGAATTAGCTGCTAGTCAAATACTTATAGCTATTTTCCAGCAATTTCTCATGAGTCCTGCATAGAGAAATAAAGCAATGTATATATTCTGATAAAATGTACTATTATATCCTTTCTTCATCTATTTGATCTTTCCTTAAGACAAACATGCACTGTACACTGTGTTAATTTCTGAACATCAGAATTATTTCAGAAGGAAACAGTGAACAGGTTTAACTAAAAACTCAACATTGAAAGAAATACCTGAATGTCTTTCTAACTGCTTTTTGACAAGCCTTGCAAATTTAAAAAGAGTAAACCAAATTCCTTAGAAATACTATAAGGAGTACTTCAGGAAACATATAGGCATATGCCCACCTGAAAACCATCATGGATTTGCTGTTAGACCCCTTCAATTTGCCTACCGAGAAAATAGATTGACAGCTGATGCTGTTAATATGACTCTGCACTACATCCTACAACATCTTGAATCTCCAAAGACATGTGCAAGGGTCCTCTTTGTAGACTTCGTCTCAGCATTTAATACCATCATTCCAGATATTCTTCTAACTAAACTAAATCAGCTAGCTGTACCTGGCCATACTTGTAAATGGATCATAAACTTCCTAACAGACTGGAAGCAGCAGGTGAAGCTAGGCAAAATCACACCAGATACCTGTACAATTAGCACAGGAGCCCCCCAGGGCTGTGTGCTCTTTCCACCTCTCTTCTCTCTATACACCAATGACTGCATCTCAAAAGATCCCTCTGTTAAAGTACTGAAGTTTGCAGATGATACAACAGTGATTTGTCTCATTTGAGACAATGGTGAATCTGTGATTCGTGAAGTTGAACAGCCTAGTGGTGCAACAAGAACAATCTTGAACTAACTACAGACAAACTGTAGAAAAGTTGGTAGATTTTAGGATAAACCCTCCTATACTACCACCTCTTGCAATACTAGACAACATAGTATCAACAGTAGAGACCTTCAAGTTTCTAGGCTCTTCTATCATAGAGCACTGCATATTAGAACAACTAGACACAAGGACAGCTTTTTCCTGAATGCCATCACTCTGCTAAACAACTAATTCCCACACTGTCAAATTATTTACTAAGACTGTATTACTATTGTTCTTCTCATCCTTCCTAGTACCTATCTCTTCCCACTTATGACTATAACCATGTTGCTTGTATCTTTACAATTTATATTGTTTTATTTGTTTTCTAGTATGATTTGATTGCTTATTAGTAACTTCTATCACTAAGTGTTGTATCTTATGATTCTTAATGAATGTATTTTATTTTTCTTTCTGTTCACTGAGAACATATGCCCCAAAGACAAATTTCTTGTATGTCCAATCACACTTGACCAATAAAGAAAAAAGAAAGAAAGAAAGAAAGAAAGAGGGAGGGAGGGAGGGAGGGGGAAGGAAGGAAGGAAGGAAGGAAGGAAGGAAGGAAGGAAGGAAGATAGCTATTGACAGTTACGTCCTCCACTAAGGTTCATATTCACTGCTATTCTCTCTGGTAGAAATTGAATAATCTGACTATGTCTGAAGAATTACTTGTATCTCTCCTGCATCCATCCCAACTGAGAATCAGTGAGAACTGAAAAAAATTATAAAAGCTCAGTGAAGCTTTTACCATCTCATATGAATTGGACTACTATACCCACCAACCATGACTAATGGCCATTATGGGAGCCCAAATATTTCTAAATGGTGGGTTACAGTGTGCAAGACATATTTCTTGATAATGGAAAATGTTTTGTTATCAAAAAATTGGGAAAAGGCAAAGTTGCAAAGGCAACTATTAAACAGTTAGTAAAATTGATAATTATAGTTTTTGTTAGGACTGTTGTTGGTTAGTTGCCCAATGGATTGCTCTCTGTATGGTTTTGAAATACATACACACACACATTTATGTATATATGTATACATGTACGTATCTACCATGTTCAATTTTTATTGGAGATTTTACATTTTTGGGCTATGGGTGTTGCATATTAGATGAAATGGCTTGTTGTATGAAGAAAGAAATACAAGGAGAAATAGAGAGATTTGTATCAGTTTACACTATGGAAGCCATTTGGAGATCTTCTGCCTTTTCCTGGAAGTGTAAATCTATTTTGCTGTTGGAGCATGAAGTACCATAATCCTCCAAGCATCCCAACTCCATAATATACCTGTGGAATATCATCTCTTCTGAGAAAGGTAGAGAGGGCAAGAATCACAATTTTCACATAAAACATTTTTACCTTCTAAATGTAGGTGAGGCAATATCTGGGTATTTTGAACCTGGCTGTCTGAGACTTGGTGTTCCACATGCACTAGCTGAAGTTGGACTTGATTTGGGAGAACCAGACAAGGATACACTCTCAGAATCAGATATTGCCACTTTTTCTTTTTCTTTGTCCGTCTGGTTGATTGTTACAGGACTAGATCGTCCTGAGCCAATCTTTGTAGGTTCCCTCAATTTGTTAGTGGCAGCAGCACCAGCAGACTTGCTGCTGACATTAGAGTCAATGCTGCTGGTGCTAGATCTGTGTCCACCTCGGCCAGGAATCCCACTTGTGCTTGATTTTGAAGGACGTGGTAAACTTCGATACTGCAAAGTGGTCTTTGAACTCATATGTAAGACACCATCTTCTTGATTCTGAGAACCATCTAGACTGGTCTTTCTCCCTGCATTTGATTTTCCACCAATGGCTGCCGATTTAGGCATCTTCCCCAAAGTTGCCGAGCCACTTGTTATGGTTGCTCCACTTGCAGTGATTATTGTTGAAGAGCTGACTCCAGTTTTCTTGAAACCAAAGGAACCTGTGGCTGTTGATCGACCAATTCCAGAAGGAGGTTTTTTCCCTTCATCTCCACTGCTTTTTCCTGCATCTGAAGGGGAACGCTGGATGGAAGCTCCTTTCAGGGGAGTTTTTACTTTTTCAGAAGCTTTGGCATCATCTGTTTTTCCTAAAGAAGAGGACAATTGCTGCAGAAATCCATGTCTAGTAGATTTCAGTTTTTCAGTAATACTGTATATAAAGAGCGGAGACCCATATGACCTTTCAAATGCTGCAAAACACCTGTTTTGAAGGGTTTGCAAAGCACCTTCATCTTTCTCAAGGTGAAGGGTATAAATGGGCAGTAAACAATATGCCAGGGGGGAAGCTGAAGGCAGAACAAACTTTCTTTTTGAAAATATTCATAGGGAAATAGCGAGATACAAGGACTCCTGAATGGAGGGGGAGACCCAATAATTGATGAGAAAGGATGAAATGAGAGTTCACTCTCATGGAAAACCAATCTACCCATCCCACAACTGCAAAAGAAATATGGCAATACAACACTCTATCATTATTCCTCACTAAATACTTCTGAGCTATTATCCAAGTGATACACTTCAGTTATACAAATTATCTGTGTAATAAATCTAATATTATGGTATTACTGGTTTTCTATACCCAGGAGCTAAATATGGAGTTTTCCCATCTATTGAGGTCAATTAAGGGAACTTAGGGAACTTCTAGTCTTACATGAAACACTCTCAATGCCTTTCCTACCAGGTGTCTTGATAGTACTTCCTCCAGCTTTGTGCCTAGATGATGTTGCTCCCACTTGTGCAGTCATGCCTCTTCTCCAAGAGCCTGTCTGAGAAATAGGAAGAGGAGTTTTTTGCCCTCCTTTCTCAGCCTCCTCAAGCAATCCAGGAGGATGGCTCCTCCACTTGCCACTGTTGTCAAGATTGCTCTCAAGATCTTCCTCTGGCTTCTTTAATTCTTCACTGCTTCCCCAAGGTTCTCCATCAGTTACTGAACGTTTTTCAGAATCTGTCTTCATCTACCGAAAATAAAATATCATGGAATGAAATTAATTTCAATCAGTGAGTGTAGAGTATACATTATTTATGTAATGTCTTACCCTCAAAATACTGATCACTCTACTTTGACTGGTATTTGGTATTTGTATAGCTGGTGCTAAGTACAATAACTTAGCATTGAGAGAAACTAATAATACGTAACAAAAATTAATGCTGATTCTTGATATTGTTTTCTTCATTACACCTAAGAATATGAGGATCAGATATTTAATTAACAGGCAAGTTTCAGATTAGAATTGTGAAAGATTTTCAATTTGCCTACAAAACTACCAGTACTGCAATAAGTGGCTTGACAGGAATATGATTCTTAACTGACAGGCCATTTGATTGGGACTAAATGTGTTTACTCAGAGATTAGTTGTTATTTCACAATCTCTTTATAACCAAGAGTGTGATATGCTAAGAAAGGACTTTGCTATATCTTTAACCCTCAATCTTGCCTCCATATGCAGCACAGAACTTTGCCTTGGGTTGTTGGCAACACCGTGCTGTGATCAATGGAAAATGTAATCATGTCATTAAACTCCAGCAGTGTTTATGACTCTCCACAGGTCCTTGATCAAGAAATGGGTTATCCATTCCCCCCCCCACATAAAACGATCACGCACAGAAGGTGTCCCTTTGTTGCTTTGCTTTGATTCAATTAATTGTTTCATCATGGTTTTATGACATGGCTATACCAGAAACTCTAATTATAACTATAACATGTCAGAAGACTTAGGATTATTATAATTCCAACAAAGAAAACACAAAGAAAACCAAAGAAATAAACAAATGCCTCATCACTCCACCCTCAAATCACTCTAGTAAAGAATGTATGTGTTGAACAAGTATGTTAAGAATGTTAAGAAAAAGTAACAAAGCATCCAAGTGACTATCTGAAATAAATATCCTACCCTAGACAGAAAATTAAGAAGGTGAGACCTACATGGGTAGGTATATTCTTTCTTGAAGAAGCAGTACTGTTAGAATAAGAACTGACCGATGATGTAGTATTGAGGTCATCTGTGCTGATGTTATCCAAAGTATCACTGAGGCCACTGCTAACAGAACTGCTATCATCCCAACTGTTGGAAAACAAGAGATAAAAGAAATTGATATCTCATCTATTCTCCTCAGGAACTGAAATTCGCTGATGTAATTGACTTCATGGGTTGTTTACTCATTAAAAATATTGCTAAATATGCTAAATATAAACTTTAGCAATCCACATATTACTACAAATGCTTTGATTGTAAATAATTTACTAAATATGCAGTTTCTATCTTTATCAAGATCTAGTATAAATGTCCACAATAGGCTGATTTGTAGTTTGTTGGACTCATATTTTGTAAGATACGTATCATAAAAGCAGCATTAAATCAATATTGGATTCTGGTTTAAATATTTTATTCCGGTATTAGTTTAGATTATTTCAAGGCTTTCCCAGAAAATGGTGTGGGTTAAGGTTAAGTTGGTTATTCTTCAAGGAAATAAACATAAATCAAATAAGATTCAAAGAATATAAAAGTGTTCTACTTCAAGTCTTCTCAGAAACAACACTGAAAGTGAAAATAATATCAATAGTAACACATTATTTTTGCATTCCAGGCAGTTTTCATGATATAAATTAATATAAATTAACACAATATTATTCAGTATCTTGCCGTGTGTGTTTCAATACCATATTTCATCTTGCTTTCTATGATCTTTTGGCAAAACTGAGAGGAATAGTTTTCAGTAATCCATAATCAAGGTAGACTTCTTAATAATCAGTGTTATTTTCATTTCATTTCATTTCATTTTAATGACATTTATAGGCCACCCTTTTCCCTGAGGGGACTCAGGGCGGCTTACAATAAATAGGAAGGGGGTGCAAGACAAAACACAAGAAAAAAAAACGTGTGAATAAAAAAAATAAACCAGTAAAACACAACATTCATTCAGCATTCGGGTGGGGCGAGGTTAGGGTCTTATCCCCAGGCCTGACGGGATAGCCAGGTCTTGAGGGCTGTGTGGAAGGTCTGGACGGTGGTGAGGGTGCGAATCTCCACGGGGAGATCGTTCCAAAGCGTCAGAGCTGCAACTGAGAAGGCTCTCCTCCGCGTAGTCGCCAGTCGGCACTGACTGTTGGATGGAATTCGGAGGAGGCCTACTCTATGCGATCTGATGGGACGAAGGACGAAGTTATTGTTTTTCATTGTCTATGGTGGTTTGTTGTGATGGGGGATTAAGGATTTAATATAATCTAGAATTTCTCAAGAAAAACTATGTGGCCATTGTTGCCTTTAGAGTTCTTGATGGATGCTACAATACCTACCTGAAGGAGATACTTTTGATGTCTATCTAAAAAGGTGAACTGGCTCAGAATAAAGAACAAGAATCTGATAAGCATTGATTAAAAATATAGAAATAAATCAAATGCTAATAAATTAAGAAAGGGTGATGAAGTGAATGAAACACAGAACCTTAATCTAATCCACAAGAAAAAGAAAGCTGCTGGCAGACATCCAAAGGTGTTTTTCCAAAAGGCAACTGAAAGTCCAGTGCCTTTTGGAAAAGCACCTTTGGGTGCTTTTAAGTCAGGAGTGCTTTTACACAGTTTAGATATAGGCCTTGGAGAAGATAGTATTAGTAATCACTGAAGTCTTATGTTTGGACTATTACACTGAATCTATTGATTTGACCAGGCTCCCTATATCACATGAGTGTTATTGTATCAGCTAGATTAGATGATGCTGTAAACCACTTGGAGCTGACTGAAGTTGGCAGTACATGAACATAATCAATGATATTCTGATGACAATTAACAACATCAGAAAGAATAAATTTATTTTTAGTTCTTCACCACCATTTTTTTAAAAAGAGTAATACATGGAACAGAAACACACACACACACACACACACACAAACAAACAAACAAACACACACCAGGAAGTAAAGTATCAAAATAATGTTTAAATGCACTTTGGAAAATTGTCAGCATGGTCTTGAGTGAAAGAAGAGGAGAGGCAATCCTCACCTAAACAATTGACCACCATTCTTAATTGCTCCCAGCATCATTTTCTCCTATTTTTCATGGAGGGCCTATTTGAGGAACTTTACTCAGATTCAAATAGTCTGTTATGCATGTGATATGCATATGAAAAATATTGCCAGTAGTGCTATGGATTTGTAATGGATTTCAATCTAATTTTACTGAACTGTATTAGTTTCCTACTTACTGTTAGCTGTCCTACAAATAAATAGCAACAGTGTGTTGGATATTAACTTCACATTGCTCCCTCTCCCTTCATTACAAACCATCTACACTAGGTTCCAGACAATTGATTAGAACAGTTAATTGTCTATTATATAATTTTGAGAGGAAGTAGCATTTGCATGTAGACAATGCAGGCTTAGAATAGGTTGGGGGGCTTTTTAAAACTATTTTTAATAGTGCAGATTAGACATGCTTCTGGATAGTACCCAGCTGTTACTTGATAAATGGAGTTGAACAGGTGATCTTTTCAGGTGATTTGTATAGTCATAATTCAACATTTCAATGAATACTGTACTATGCAACTTAATTGTACAATATAACTGTTTGGCTGTGAACCAATTTTTCATAACATGGCTAAGTTTGTTTTACTATTTGTAAAAAAAATGTCATATCAATTGCGCCAGTTTTATAATTACTGGCTTTTATTGTAGACTTTTACTTATTTGGTTTTTGAGCTGGTATATAACTGTAATAAAGTATTTGTCTGTCTGTGCATCTCTCTATTTTGATGTATGGGGGTGGGGGGGAAGGCTATTGCTCTTCCAGCCAGCTGTTCCATGAAGAGTGAACTCTCTATAGTGTATTAAAAGAAACTGCATGCCACTAACAAATAGTCATTAGAAATACCCTGACAGGGCAAAACCCAATTATTTTAGGAATGTTGAACAGCTGCAGTTTTAAGGAAATCAATTTCATGATTCTTTAAATTTTCCTGTTTAGAATCTTATTTATTTCTAGTACTTTGCACATGTCAAATGACAAGCATTGTTATGAAAATTTCTCTAAATTTTTGCTGTGAAATAAAATAATTGTCTAAAAGAAAGATGTCATTTCTAAATTTAAAAATCATTCTTTAGCTTTTCCTGAAAATGAAACAATGAGTTTTAGTACTCTTTATGGACTGTAAATTAGCATTCATACTATTTCCCATCCCACAAATTCCTGAGCACAGTTAGCAGCATTGCAGTGCATCTAAAAAAAGGGCAGTACTTGAATTGTACAAATGTAGCTACCATCTTTTGTTCCTTCTTTCTTTCCCTTCCATCCAATTCCAAGGGCCCTTTCATTCTTTGATGACTCTGAGCAGTTTATAGATAATCTATAATTAAAAAGAGTTCATGGCTGAGCACAAAAAAATAATAATTGAGCATAAGGAAATTAAAAGTCTTCTAAAATATTATAATGTGTCTGCCTAAACAGGAGCATCCAAGAAGAGCAAAGACAGAGATTGTTGACTTTATTTGGGGTTGAGGTTTTTTTGGTAGCCCAACATTCCCACAGCTGCTTTTCTCTCACTAGAAATGACATGGAATGATGTAAACAACCTTTCTTACTTTCAGGAACTGTGGTGTCCTTATGCACTTATGCTTCACATTGCCCCTGTCTATCTTATAGAAGATTGACAGAGCAGCATTTACTGCCACCATCAAAAGTCCTTAAGGCTGGCTTCCATCACTGAATGGAAGATAATTGCTGATCTTAATGGTTGCATATGCTATTGCTTTTTACAGCTCTTAAGCAGAATAAATAACAGATGGCAGGTTTACTATCAGCAGAAAGTGATTCCCACCACAGACTTGGAAGATGTTTCTAAATTAAAGCCATCTTATAGCAGGCAGTGTTACTATACCTAATCATGGCTGTTTTAAAAATACCAAGTTACACTTGGATGGAAGAATATCAACAGCTCCCAGAGCTGCAATATAGACTAAAATATTAGCTTGAAATAACATTTGGGAACAAGATAATGGTAAAGCGCATGTTTCTTTTTATTTGAAAGAAAACACCTGGGATGAATTCATTTTGTGACCTGGACAGGAGACTTTACTTCTATTTTTACTAAGATATGTTTTCAATTCTTTCAAAAGGATTTTTTTTTTGTTTTATAAAAATGGCATAGTAGTTGTTGTCGTTTTTTAAATGTGCAAAATAACAAACAAATTGACAAAGCCTGCCAGCTCCCACTGCAATCAATCCATCAGTTGTTTTATAAAGGACTGTCCTTGGCATGTCTGCTAATAAATCATAAACAACAGCATTAAGCCTATTTAGCCACATTCAACATAGCATAGACAACATAAAAATGAAGCCATGAGCAGTGCAAGTAAAACTAGACAATGAATATTCTGGAACTCCCCTAGAGCCATTAATTTTCTATATATATTCTGTCTCCATAGGGAAATGGCCACAAGTGCCACTAGACTCGTACTTTATTTCTTTCTACCTCAAGTATAATGCATTACCTGTCATTTTCAAGCATGACAACTACTGTGGCGGAAACTCTGTATTACTTGTGGGTCACAGAACAGATTTAATCAGCATTTTCATAGCAAAAAATATTCTCTACTAAGAATATAAACAACATATCAACAAATGGCATTACATAGGATTATACTTCTTAGTATAGTTTTTTTCAAAAAGTTTAATAAAAATGGAAATAACTTTTAATATGTAAATGAAATAAATAAGCCATTTTTTCATATAGCTGTCAAAGAATATCCTGAACTGAAGTATATATTGGTTTAGAATTCTACTCCTAAACTCTCTAGAGATACAAATATAATATTTTTGAGATATTTTTAGCTTCAAGACACTTGCTTTTAAATTTTAAAAAAAGGAAAGCATTTTTGGAAAGGCAGCATAACTAAAAATAATTTGTTAATTTTTTAAAAAAATCAGGAAATGATACTGATTTTCTTCTATCTTATGCAAGTGAATAAGCAGTATAATAATTAACTACATTTCAAGTTTTAGATCAAGATATCTGTTGTACATACATAAAAAAATAATTCCATCAAGAAATGATGCAATAATCACCTAAAGGGC